GCGGACTGTACCCTGCGGTGAAATAATTATACACAGTTTATCATCGATAACGAGACCTATCATTTTGGCCCACCTCTATTTATTGTTTAGTAATGGCGGAGTTGGGTACTTACGGCACAAAGACCTTTGTTGTGAAAGACTAGGCTCGTTACAAAACCTTTAGTATTAGACGTCAGTCTAAAATTGTTTACCATAAACGAATAGCATAACAATCTATATCAATAGTTACTCTTATCGATTTGTGATGCACGGCGAATTTCTTAAATCCCTGTTTACTAACTTATCTTATCGCTTAGACAATAGATCTGTAAACACTTAAACAGCTAGGACCAGTCGCCATATCGGTATTAAATTTCAAAACATTATCAGTACTGTTTACATTGTCTCATTTTATTTATATATCGTATTTTTAAGAGAAGTTAATTACGTTTTAAATAAAAACAAAAAAAAAACTTTCATCGAATAACGTGAAATTTTCCTTTAAATAAACTGAAGAAAACCGAGGTGACACCGTTTTATTTATCATTTGGACCCAATAATAAACAAATGAATTGTCAATGATGAAATTGAAATCTTTAATATCTGACTAAATGTCTTAACGAGAAGAAAAGGTCTTGAGTAACTTTTTTATAGCAAGAATCCCATTGGTTGCGGGAATAAGTCATCTGTATGAATACTGTACATCTATTGTTACTAATCCGAAGGTAAGTTTTGAATGTAAGTTGTAATGTAAGTTTTCATCGACCTCACGTTTATCCCACATTTGATCGAATTGTCAGTGGTGTATTAAAGTGTTCTTTTCGTGTTATTTTAATATCAAAGGTTGGTAAGCAAGCAGACTGCGGCAGGTTAAATGTTATTATATTATATATAATAACCATTTTCTTTTGTGGTAGAAGAATTGAAAAATTGGTGGTTCACCTGAAGTTAAGTCATCACAACCACCCATAATGTTCCTCCACAATTATAGGGATATTGTTACATTTTCAATATTTAGGTGTTTGGGCCCTTTATAGCTGATACACTAGGTGAATTTCTAAAGTATATATACTTTAGCAATCTATATTTTATAATCTATAAGTATAAATACTTCTTACTTTAATCTTTACTGTTTTTATTTTACTTTTTAATATTTTTTTATTTACTTTTGTATCTGTTTTGATAATATTGGTGTTCTAAACTGTACTGGAAACGTAATTGTTGTGAAATGTACACCCAGGAAGCTTTGTATCCATAAGCTTATCTAGATTAAGACACACACTGCGTTGCAATAAATGGTTCGTAATAGACATCGCCACATGTGGATTGCGGTTTACAATGCCAGCGCGCATTGCCGCAAGTATAATACCCGGCCCTAATGCGAACTGCGTGAAACGTTGGATTTTCGATATTTCCCAATACGGTCCCATTTACTATGGGAGCGCACTCGGTCAGCTGATATTTGCAGGGCGGCAGGGGTCATTGACCCGGATCGGATACTCTGTTCAGAGCGTCCGTATGAATATATGCTAAGACAGTATCATCAGACTTGCGATTAACTTCCTATACTATTTTTCAAGGTCTCAATCATGATATTGGGTAAGAAAGGAACTGTCGTCAAAAGCTTTTTCTCTTTAAAAACAATATATATCCAATTTCCATACTATTTTTAATATCTTATTTCGCTGATGCATTTGTTTTTATCTTTTGTCCTTATGAAATGTATAGTTAAACAAAGCCTTAAGAAAAAATCTGAAAACCAATTGAACCTATATAAAAAATAAGTAACTTAACAATTCTTTTAGGCCCCTACAGTTGTGCTTCGAAAAATAACAAAAATACAATCATAAAACAGTTCCATCGAGCCAATCGATACGTCTTCTTTGTTGCTCGACCCTTGTCCAAAAAAAACACAAATTCGTAGTGGATATACAAAAACATTACGCAATATGCCCCGCCAAAGGTCACAGAATAAACTACCGAAGCGGTAACCACAATGGAGTAAGCAATAAAACTAAATTTACCAACGTCGCCGCGCATAATTCAGACCCAATTGATGTCCTGGCTAATCTGTCAATTAGCCAGCATTCCTGTGCCCTGACCTACACTCTCTGTCGTAAGCCTTAGAACGGAGGATGACTAACGGCCTTTGTTAACCCTTAAGTCTTTCATATATTTAAACTGGCCCTGCTTGGTTAATGTCAAACTTCTTGAGACTGGCGTAGTATATATTGAACCTGTCTCTTGCGCCAGAGGGTGTGGGTTCGATCCCAACTACTGGATGAAGATTTTGTGATGAACATAGTATTTTTCTAGTGTCTAAGTGTAACATATCTATATCATGTATTTATTTACAAAATAAAAGTATATTTAAGTATGTTTATCACTTGCCTATTGCCCATAGTACAAGTTTAGCTTGGTTTTGGACTAAATTACTGCATTTAGAATTCCGTAGAACGCGTTCAACTGTACCGATATTTCGGTATTTACTTATATATAACCGACACTGTTAACATTTTTAGGACGCTGTATGCATCATTTGTGTGATTGTGGTATATCATTGATATGCATTGGTTCGGAATATGATTGCTAATACAACATTGAAATTAATTTATTTTGCACTTGTACCGTTCACAAAAAACCTTATGTAATATTTTTACATGTATTTGGCATAGACGGTATAGACACGTTTAGATAATGCATAAAAAAATTAAAATTTAAATAACAAAAATAACTCTTGCAACTGAAATATACGAGGAACATACTGAATATCAAAACACTTTGGCCATAGGTTTTCCGGCGGATGGGGTGACTTTAAAGTTCTTTAGTGCGTCTGTTGCATTTTTATGCAACTACTCTTGCTTGCTCTCAGGATCATCGTGATGTCTCATCACTGGTAAAGATTCGGTCGAAAATACTATGTGGATTTTTACCACAGAGCTCCAAAAACTCCTTGCGTTCCCGACAGGAACCGGGACCCAATAAACCTTTTAAAGGTCATAGGCGGCGGTATTCCCGCTACTGACACATCAGGCGAACAACTTGCTCGCTCAACGACTTTTCCTATAAAAATATAGTTGGACTCTTGAACCAAGGGTTGCGTACCATTAAAAACGGCAAAAAAATATCATGTCTGTTCTATGGGAGCCCCACTTCTATTATTTTTTTCTTATTTTTTTTATTCTGCTTTAATATTTGTTGTTATATACGTCATCTGTGAAAATTTTAACTGTCTAACTATCACGGTCTATGAGATGATGCAGCCTATTGACAGACGGACAGCCAGACAGACAGCGGTCGACTATTGATTACTAAGACAACCGACAACATCCATCCCGTTTTACCCTTTGGGTTCGGAACCCTAAAAATAGACTATCTTGGAACATCCTGATTAGAATTCACATATTAAAACATTATAAACTAAATCTCGTCGATTAATTAATTTCGAGCATCGAAATCGCACACAAACATCCCGGTCCATCGGCCCAACGTGACTCGAGATACATTAAGATAGGGTATTACATATTTCACCACCTTTATAGCGCGCTCATACGAAGATTATCCTTAACAGCTTCATTACTCCAACGGCATTATGCTAATAGACAGTTTCGCTCGTGTTATACCGTCCCGTCACGCGACACGTGAAGACCCGCGCGGGAATTGGGTTAACGGGAAACGTGAGGAATGGACGGTTTACTCTTGCGGTAACCACAACAAAGAAGATACTCTCTGTAATGTTGGACAACCTGAACGCCTTGATTCTTAATATATTGTATTTCGATTTGGACGAATTTGAATTAATTTAAAACACAGGGACGCGATTAATATATAGATGTGCATACATTTAAATATGAAATCTTTTGTGGTCATTTTTACAAGTTCATCTAAAATATTGTTATATTGTTAATAAACAGTGGAGCCTCAAATCAAACACTTCTACTAGTAGACTTTGTGAACTTTTGGAACATAATCAATCAAGGAATAATACAATGTAGTGTAAATCTAGTCATTTATAATTTTTTTTTTTCTAGTTGGTTATTTTTTCATCTTTAGTAGGTAAATTATCCTTCAAAACGATAGACAAATAAACAAAAACAGTAAATTTGTTAAAATTACTAATGCAGCTGTGGGATACGTCCAAAAACACTTAAGAAATAATATACGCATATCACCCCTCAAAGTAGTATCAAAATAGAGTATTTATCGGACTTCATGCTATTAGCCCTGAACAGGCTCGCCAACTAACAGAAACCCCGTAAAAAGGCCTCGATGTAACCCAGACAAATGTTTCCATTCCCATGACGGTCACGAGATCGCCCGATAGCGGGGCCCCGTTTTTGTGGCGGCGATACCGTTCCTGAATTTCTACAAGACGAAAACCGTCCGGGGAGACATCGGCCGCTTTAATGCGGGCCCCTCGCTCTTATCTGTCACATCTTATCGACCAATAAGGACGTCGCACGTCACTCAATCTGCCAATCTGCGGGCGAAGGCGCGGGCTGGCCACCGCGGGGGGCGATTTTGAACTGTAACAGTCATAGAATGTGTACCACGTGGACGATATAATAATGTAACGGGATATGACTGGTGCGCTCGAATAATGGAGTTGTGCGCGATAGCGCTGCCGTTGACGGCGCGTGTTCTGGAATGTTTGGGAATACGAGATGTTTAAAATAAACGGAAGATAATTTAATAGTAATAGTACTTAACGTAAATGCCCCACTGCTAGGCAAAGTTCTCAACTGTAGAGAGGGTTAGGACACATATAATTCACAATGCCACCGTTATTTTGAAAACACGGAGGTTTCCCCACAAATTTTCCTTTAACGCTGAGTACTTAATTGTATACATTTGTATATCATACTATTAACGGACGGTTTCAATATTCAATCTGTAGATTTAGTTACTAGAGACTTTGATTCTATCTCCAGTAACCAAATCTACAGATAGATTACTGAAACCAGCCGTAAGACGACAGCCATACTAGAAGACAAAGTTAATGTTTTGTACGTTTTGAACAGGTGGACGTTTCTGCTCCTTCTCGCCTTGCATAGAACAAGTCCAGCGCACGTGCTTGTCGCTTAAAGAGCACGGCTTCCAAGACATATCCACCATGGAGGTATTGCAGACTGAGCTGAAGGTCACCAAGCGCAACGTACCCGTCAGAGATCTGTCGTTCCTCAAACATAAGGTAGGAACCAGGGTTTTGATATTTTTTTATTTATTTATTTAATCTTTTTTGCACTAAAAATTGTACAAAGGCGAGCTTAATGCTATGTAATATTTTCCATTCGTTTACATTCTGTGCTTAAGTCATACAGTATGTAGTAAGCCAATATAAGCGCAATTATTATTTTTTAAATAAATATTAATTTGAATAGAAAAAAGGTACGATTATGATTATTTTAAATGGCCAAATAAGGTACGATATTACTTTTGTTCGTTAGAAGACAAATGTTACGACTAAGACTCCACCAAAGTTTTTAAACTTTTTATAGTACCTACTTAGAAAAATGGCTTCATATAGATAGAGTTATATGACCCAAAAGAAAATCTTTTCATTCTTGTCTCTCCCTTTTCACATATATTTTATTCTCTTCATTCTTAATACAAATAATAAAATCTCTTCCGTCTTCCGTATCGGCACAACTGTACTTTCTCTGTGGGCGTACGTCCAATAAAGATACACGAGTGCTGTAAGGGGATGTACACTAGCATTTTACGACTTCAACCTCGCATACACTCGTAGCTACGAAGTGGGGACCAGCGGAAGATCCGGCTACCGACACATTAACTTGGCGGAGTTACGGTCGGCTCCGGTGGCGAGGATCGATCAGGGTCTAACAAGTCGATAATTGACAGTGCGCCTTGCTCACGGCGTATGCTATAGCCACTGTGCTAGTCTCGATACGGTGACCGCTGCTCTGGCGGCCCGTGAAGCGTTGAAATCGATCGCCAGTCATTACCCTATTTCACGAGTAATTGTGGACTTACACACGTTACTGTTCCGTATAGGTTGACTGTATTCAAAATTTCTTAGAAATATGTACGTTTCTTCAAAACAGTGGCCGATAGTGAAAGGAATGAGGTAAACATATAAAAATATTGTAGTTATAACGGCGGTGATACAGGCTTGGGCAAGGTGAACCGTTATCTATGTATAGAGATATGATTAAAGAAAAGAAATTCATATTTTTTTATTTAGGCCTAGAAAATATACTTACAAAATAACATTGGTTATATTGTAATAGGGAATTTTGTCAATTAACCGTTGATAAACATATGTTTTGATCTTGAACAAGACACTTGTGATCTGACTTGCGCACTGGCTGTCAATCCGACCTAAGCCTTACGAATGGACGCGCGCGCACGTAGATTAGATCCACCAGATAATTGGGTGTCGCGGATCTCCGCGGCGTGAATACGTCCATACATCTTCGGCGGCCGCTGACGTGGATTAAGGCTCCGCTTGTCTGCGAATGGCCGGGACCGCCTCTCGGCCGCTATTGCCTCGCGCGTTTCGAATTCAATCGGTATAAAATTGCGCTTAAAGCGTTGATTTATCGAACGCCGCCGCCGTAAAACGAAGCGGTGGGGAAAAAGTGGCCCGTCGTCGCCCGTTTCGATGCGGCCGCGATACGGGGGGCCTATTATGAAAGCCAACTGGCGATGCTCGTATCGATGGATCAAGCGATGGGAATGACACCATCCGTGAAATGTTCACCACTAATTCTCAACGGAAAATGTGCGTTTACATATTAGAACATAATCCGCATTTCGATCCGTCGAATAGCACATTTATTTATTAGACAGGAAAACCAAAAGAAAATAATAGCATAGTATAAGGAAAAAACATAACAGCAGCTAATAACAGGTCATCAGGAATAGTAACACACAAATGCGAAATCATAGCCTCTCATATGACGATCGTTTTATGGGATCTTTCCTGTTTTTTTGGTGTCTAATCTTTCCTATTTGACTGTGCGAATAACAATATATTAATTGGTAAAGTAAAACATAATGGTGTCCATAATTTTACAATTAATCCGATATCCTTCTATCTTCCGAACGGAGCACTAGTAACGATAAGTTGAGTGTTGCCATCGATTTCCATTTTGCGTATGAGTCTTCCTCAGAGATTTATCCTGGGACCGGTACTGTTCTCAGAATATGAATAATATACCGAATAAAGTAAAGAAAACATTATAATTGTATTTAGCCAATGATAAGCGACATATTGCAAATGATTTACGGAAAAAATAACATATTCTTCGAAATATGTTATTTTTTCCCACGATGTTTTACTTCTCCCATAAACACGTGATAAATCTGCACTTGAAATTTACAATGTCATTAGTGCTGGCACCGGGTTTTGAACACAGCTGTGTATATAGAATTAAAAGTGAGCCGGACACAGAGCTATCACGGCTCCTTTATTATTTAAAATTAAAATTTATTTTACTTATTATTCATTAATTAAATACAATTACCTAAACTGTGGTACAGAAAATTTACCGCAACTTACACATATTTGTTTCCTTATGCGATGACAGAACGGTAGAGCTTGTACATAATAGAAGATACGTAGACATATGAATTCTGTTACAATTCGATAATATTATTACTAAGTGACAATCATCTTATATTGTTTCTTAGTGGAATTAGGAAAGGAACCAGTGACCACGTAATAAAGACTAAACGAAAAAATTACATGGCCATATTTTGTATTGAATAAATTCTCAAATGTACACAATTATGCGCAAGAAGTTAATTGAATTCTCACAAATTATAGAAACAGTATCTAAGACCATTAATTTAACGGTAGCATTCTACCTTAAGCTATGATTGAGCACGCCTTCTAACAAAGTACAAAGCAAAATATAAAACTAGGTTAGAGCATTCGATGCACCTTCTCAATTATAAAATGACTTTAGATGCGTTATAAATAAAGACTATACTCGACGCATACTGACGGTGCCAAAAATTTGTTAAATTTCCAGTCTGCTATTCGAATATCGTCCGTTTGCCATACCGATATAAGGCCGTTATTAGTCATGCATAGCCAATGCCAAAGACATATCTGGCTGCGTTCGAAAACATCACGCCCGCCGTTTGTCGCGAACGGTCACGTTTCGCGGACGGTAGCAAAATATTTAGTGTTGTCCGCGAATCGATCAAGATTATCGATGTTTTAATGGATAAAGTGCAGCCTTAGCTTAGGAATCAAAACCGGCCAAGTGCGAGTCGGACTTGCGAACGAAGGTTTCCCTACTATTATCTATAAAAACCCACATAAAATTTAACTTAATATTTTTTTTTCTGTTTTTTAGTATTAGTCGTTATAACAGCAACAGAAGTACATTATCTGTGAACATTTCAACGATCTTACTATCACGATTCATGAGATACAGCCTGGTGACAGATGGACAGACAGACAGACAGACAGACATACATACATACAGACAGACAGACATACAGCGGAGTCTTAGTAATAGGATAAGCTGCTTGCCTCTACCAAGGACAATGGTGCTTCAGAAAGGTCATCGAGATTTACTTTAGCGTTAACACTCGGTTTCTGAAGCACTGATCATCGTAAAAATTAACTAATCAGCGGTGAAATGTCTTTTCAAATGTCATTTCAGTTGCTAAAAAATATTCAAATAGTTTAACCATCCTTTTGGTAACTTAAATGACATTTGAAAAGCCATTTGACAACTGATTAGTTAATTTTTACGATGATCAATGTTTCATAAACCGGGCGTAAATCCGGTAAATAAGGCAAAAATATATATCTAGTAATTATTGAGCATAATAATTGTGTTACATATTGGTTATTCTCACAATAAAATATCTAACTTTAATCGATGCATGCACAACACTATTTGCGCAGACAAAATCCGTGGGAAAATCAGAAAAGCTTTTTAAAATCTAACTTAAACTCAAGCGCCTTTACCCCGGGACCCATAAATTAGCAGCGCATTAGATTATCGTCTAGTGCATTATTTCATCCCATATAAGTAAGAAAACCGATTTTGGGCTTACCAGAAATACCCTCTTCTACGGATATGGGAGATATACGGCTGTTGATAACATATTTTCGGAAAATAATTAAGACGCTGTGGAGAGTTAATTAAGTGGAGATGGAGATGCACCTTGCTCTATATTTTACGCGGAGGCTTCGTGGTCACTATACAAATACATATATGTACGTACAGTCTTTAATGAGTATATAATACATAGATTCGTAGCAATATTTTTCTTCTCATCGATTCGATATGGCAAAATTAACGTTTATCTTTACATATATATATATATATATATATATAATTCTTCTACGCGGGTGCCGTTTACGGCTGGACCGATTATAATGAAATTTTTTGTGTCTTCAGGTGAATTCGAGAATGATTTAACTTTAAATTCACAATTCGGTCCAAATTTTCATTTTAAGTTTTTTCGCTCGTATATAAGTACATAAATATTGTTTACATTTATGTCATAAGTCTTCACCTAAAAACACAATTTAGTTTTCATTACCATCTCTATTTTTTTAAATAGGCTACGTTTGCAACAATAGTATGGGACGACTAAGATTTTTTCTTAGGATAAAATTTACTCGCACAAAGGCCGAAATAATCATGGAAAATACATTTTTTAAATCTGAGTCTTGTTTTGATAAAAATATAATATACATAATTCGACTTATTATTCATCGCGACTTTAATTTGCAAATTATTTTCTGAAAATGTCTCTCATAGATGTGATTGATACATTATCTCAGAGATGTTTTCTGATTGTACTACAAGTATGAAGTAAAATTTTCTAAAACTGTTTGTTTTGTCCTAATGTTTCATCATCATCATCATTTCATTATGTTAGAGTCCACTACAGATGCATCCATCCATCCAGCTGTATAAATTTCTCCCAGCTTTCAATATCTTTTTCACGTATTTTCTCTTTTTTTAACGTATTTTCTTTCTTCTCCAAGTATTTTCACCTGGCCTAAAGAAACGAAAAGATGAACCCATATCCGTGGTAGGGACACGCATCAGCTTCTGCTGTTGCAGGAATGGGCACGCTCCGGTGCAGTACCAAGACCTCACAAAAGACCAGCGTGAAGTATAATATATACTTTCGCATTTCTCTTGGTGAGTAAGTTAACTAGGGCCCACTTTTTAATAGATTGGCAACGCA